TTGCATGTCTGAGCAAGTATTCCTCTTTAATTTGTTTTCTCCTGGTCTGTATTTGCCTTCCAAGTGGGTGAAAGAGTGCAGCTATCGATCATCCCGTGGGAGATGCCTGCCTGGATAGAATGCAGCCGAGGGGCAGGGCTGCTGTCCCTGTGAAGCCTTGGTAGGTGTCATTCCCTTAATTCTTGGCCCCCTGGACCAGGTACAACCCACAGGACAAACAGCTGTGCCTGGTGTGGTCCCAAAGAAGCAGAGAGGTCAGGGACCTGTGGTGTGAGACACGGGAAGAAAAGCCAAGGGGCTGAGGGATGTGGAGTGATGGCCCGTGCAGAGTCCCCTGTTCAACGTGGGACACTGGATAGGTCAGGTTATCTGAGGGCTGAGACACTCTATGATTATCAGGAAATGAAGGGGCCAATTTCACCCTCTCTGCTTTTTCTTCAGGGTTTGGCAGTAGTTTCAGAGCCCAAGAGCACCATGATTTGCTTCGTAACGTGTCAGTCTAATGCAGGACATCATCGGGGATGTGATGGAAATGCTTTTCACTCAGTACCGAGAAAATTCCAGGAGTGTCAGCAAAACCCCTTGCTTTCTGCTGACTGAATCTGTGTTTCCATCTTCCTAATTCGAGCAGACACAGAAATCCCCCAGACCAGCATTAGCTTTCAGAGCTGTTGAGAGAAAATACCTACTTTGCTACTAGCAAAGTCTGTGGGTACAATCAGGTGCCCTTGCTATCTGCACCCTTCACGCCCTCACCTCTGTGTAACAGAGAAATCCCTCCATGGAACAGCTACAGCACAGTGAGAGTGTCAGACAGCTCCACCCAAATCATTCCTGACTCGAGCCCCCCAGAAAAACTCTGCACATCTGTAATGTATTTATGGCCCTGCTTGCTCATTTGTTCTCCCTCTGGTCGTTTTTTAAATGAAGGGTGTGAAAAATTAAACTCTCACAGACTCCAGCAAACTAATCAGAGGTAGCAAGTGAAAGGTGTGTTCCTTAAAGCACCACTATACCAGTTACTGGTTGACAAATTTACGCCGATACACGGAATGGGATCTGTAATGAGTTTCCTGCAACCCATTACACAGTCAGGGCCAAACAGTGCCCAAAATGGGCCTCACGTGACTCCCCACGCTGTGGCTGAGGGCGGTTTTATGGCCCTGAAAGGGGCAGCTCTGTTTGTGCAGCACTAAGTGAATTTACAGCGCATCACTCCGAAACCACGTTATTTAATCGCGCGGCATCAAAGCAGCCCAGAGAGGGGATGTGAACCCAAACACCCCTTATGGTGTTGGAAGCAGTGAAAGGGGAAGGCTGGGGCTGTTGTTCCCCTGTGCTGTGTCTTTAAAAACTGTGAGTCTCCTACAAGCTGGAGGCAGCCCGTTCAAGGCGGATATAACTATAACACACTGCGCAATTTACATAAGACTTATCTTCCCTTAAATTCTTTTAAAAGGATACCATCAATTTAAAGATTACATTTCCCCGGGTCATTAAAGTTAGGCACATACTAATTTATTAAAAGGTAAGGTATTATATCTAGGGAAGTGATAGGATCTGCCAGAAATTCCAGGGAGGCTTTAGAGGTCTTGCTGTGATGAGTCAAGCTGATAACGGCATACGGTGAGACAGCTGCATTAATGGAGCTGCCTGTTCCTCACCCAACAGGGGTGCAGTGCTGCGGCAATAATCGTTTGGGAAGGTGGCATGGAGAGGCACAGCAGTGGAGCCTGAACAGGGGGAAAAAAAGGAAACCCATCAAGCCTTATTTACTGGGTAACGTTGAAACTCCGTCACAGGAGCCGGGGCTAACATCACTTAGCATGTGCCAAATGCTGCCCAGCCATGTGCAAATAAAAAGCTCCCGCGCTGAAGGAGCTTTCTCACAGTCACAATGTGCAAAAAGCCTGGGTGGATGCCCCGTCAAGTAACTCGCCTGTCAGCAGATTTGAGGGTTTGCCATTTAAATAACCCTTTCCCTGAGTTGTCTCTCTCTTGGTGGATGTTTGCAGTTCAAATGACCCCAGATCCAGCGCGGTGGAGGGAGTGTGGTCGTGTTCCCAGCCCTTGTGACATCAGCAATTTCAGAAGTCAAGCCTGAAGGCTACACAAACCCCATCAGAGCCTCTGAGGTGAGTAAGATGCTTTGGTGTAACAAGCATTGGGGGAATGACACGTTGGAAAGCAGCAGCGTCAGCAAAGAGACAAGGTGACAGATGTGAACTGGAGGAAGGCTGATCCCTCAGCCTCACTCAGCACGCTGGGATTATCCCTGCGGGTCCACTGCTGTCGCTGAGAAACTCTGAGAGTAGAGCTGTCAACTAGGAAGAGGAGTGGGGGTGAAAATAATCCCTGTTGGAATCAGTGCTGAATCGCAGAGGTTGCTGTGCAAACCGGGGTGGAAAACCTATGGCTCAGGGTGAGGAGGGAAGAGCAAGGGCTGATGAGATGAGACGGCAGCATGAGAGGCCCTGGAAGTTGGTCTGGGCTTGGAATTGGCCTCTGTGTCAGCAGGATTGTGAAAGCAGGGAATTCCTGCCAGCGTCTCGCTCCGGGGCTGGGGCTGGGAACGGGGCCTGGCAGGGACGGCATCGCAGTGCAGGCTGAGCTGCTCCTGGGGACGGGTGATGTGCCCAGCGATTTCCCTCCTGTGAAAGGAAAGTGAAACCCCCATGCTCTGAGCTGAAATTATTGTGTTAATTATTGCAGCTCCAGGCCGGTCCCAAGAATTTAAAAATAACGCCCTCAAAGTTCGGCGTTCAGGGCCGTACCTGATGTCCACTGTTTTGAGACCACAAATCATTTCCAGATCTTTGGCTCCTAGCAGGCACCATCAGCACAAACCTTTTCCCCAAACATTCTCTGGTTTTAACCCCTGAGAGGGTCTGGGAAGCTCTGTTATTATCTGCTTTTCCCTAAATCACGGGGAGCCGTCACTGGGAAGGAACTGAGAGCTGCGATGCCTTGGGGCAGGAAAGGAATGTTCCAGAGGCCAGAGGAAAAGGTGTTCTCCTGCAAGATCTACTCTAGGCTCCATCGTTCCTTACAGTGAGTAACACACAGTCTCCTCCTGCCCTGCCTAGCAGCAGGAGGAGCAGGGAGGCAGGATTCGGGCAGCTCTCCAGCAGCAACACAGTGACAGACCCTGAGTCAGGGTATGAACAACCTTGTCCTTCCTGTGGATGTTTCCTTGAAAGGAGTGATTTAGCCTCAGGCAAAACGGGAACACCGAGATATCATTTGAATTCAGGAATCGCTTGCTTTCTTTTTGCAAGGTTTGGGAGGTTTTATTTTCTTTTTCTTTTTTTTTTTTTTTTTTTTAAGGATGAGACTTATTTCTTCCACACGCTCATCTTCTGGTATTTAGCAACTTTTAATGTGAGAAAGACACACACAAAAATTAATACTCGGTTTCTGAATTGTAAGGCAGCTTTCAGAGGAACTGACTGTGGCTTTTTCAGTGTTACTGTCAAGAAATCCTTAGGGTTTTGAAACTAAAATCTCTTTTCCTCATTTGTGAAAAAAAAAAAAAAAAATTGCCTGCACTGTGAAATTTTGATCTGAGCACAGAATCTGACTTGTGTGTTGGGCACTGACTCGAGATGGGTTTGTGGCTTAAACAAGGAACTTCAGCTTCACCTCTTCCCTAGTTTTCCTATTTGAATTATTGTTTTTCTTCCAGCAGAGCTCTATAAACATCCAAGAAAAAAGAACTTGGAGAAGGATGCTGTTATACAACTGCTAATCATTACTATTCTTCTATTGTGTTTGGTGACGTAAGGAAGTCCCAGCCAGATGCCTTAAAATCTGAGGAAATGTCTGCAAGGCATCTTTGTGGTAACACATGGGTGCAGATTCCATTCATCATTTCCTTGACAGTTTAACTAACTACTCCCAAGCCAAGAAAGATCCCTGAAATCCATCCCAGAAATATTAGCTGAAGGACAGGAGCAAGTCACTAAAAGCTCAGGCAGCCTGGGTAGCTGGAAATGCAAAGGCCCACAGAAAAGGGTCTGAAGAACATAATCTAAAAAAAAAAAAAAAATGCTGGCTTGCTATACATGGGCCTAAATTCTACACACAGGGATTTACACCTCCACTAGGAAAAAAAAAAAAAAAAAAGGAGGGGAAAAAAGTTTAGAGCTCTGCACGTTGTACACAGTTGGAACCACTCATCCAGAAACTCTGGTTTGAACTTTCCGAAGTACCTGTGGGATTTAGAACAAATCCCAGTTAACTTCAGTAGAACTGGGGCCCTCGCATGCTTGAATAATTGAAAGCTTGAGTCAGAATCACCAGAAACATGTTTTTCAACCTTTTACAATTTGCAGCACCTTCGAACTTTTTTTGTTGTTGTTGTTGGTTTTTTTTTCCCCAGTGGAAGTGTCAGTTCCTGTATAGTGATTTAATACTGCAGAAAACAGGTTTGCTTTTCTTAGCCACCCTCTGCAGACCCCTTAAAAACAGCCTATGAACACACAGATTGCAGGTCAAAGATTGTCACTTCGACATATCTCAAAATATTTACTGTTTTCTCTAGAGCCCTTTGTCCTGGCGTCATCCAAACAAATATACAAAGGGCAGTGTCTTGTTCTTATGGTTAGAAAAAACTGTAAATGTTTGGTATTTAATTTTGTTATTTGACTGCCAATTTCATGATTTTTTGAGCTTTGGCTTACTATTGTTGAATGTTTGTTGTTAGTGACGATGCATTCCTGATATTACTCACTTTATGCTGGTCCTCTATGCATTTGAAGTCAAATATTAAAAACACAATTGAATGTTGGAATATGGGGAGGAGGACACCCTCTCCACACTTGTTTCCTGCTGAGCACTTTAGACAACCTGAGGGAGCAATCTGTCCAGGACCATCAGAATATAACATTATAAAATTATACAGTGACACATCCAAACTCAAGATGCAGATCTTCACTGCCTTCTGGGAAAAACTCTTGTTCTAACAGATCTGAACTCATCACTACTCTCTGTTGAAGCCTACAAGAATGACAACCTGAGGACAACCATGAGAGCCAGGAACAGGCCGTGAAACTCAGCTTTAAAGGTCATATTCCTTTTGGCACCCGAAAGAACAGTGGCCGTAAGTGATTTGCTTTGCATTTATGGCTTTTACCTTGGTATGTTGTTTGTCTTCTAAGAAACTACTTGACTCACTAATCATCCATTCAGAGGAGCTTTCTGAGCTGTGGCTGGGGAAGAGATGAATGCATCCAGTTCTGAAATTATGCAGTGAAATGCTGCTCTGCATATTATAGCTGCAGCATTGATGTATTAGCTAATAAAACACAGCACGGGAAAGGCTTTGGGCGGAGCCCTGAGCAGTCAAGGGGCCGCTGAGAAAAATGGGAAGGAGGGATTTGGTGAGCTGTGTGATGAAGGGAGGCAGTCCAGGGGAAAGGCAGAAGGTGGTGAAGGCCTGACAGGTAACAGGAGGCGATGGATGAGGAGCTCTGGAGAAAGATCTGTGCTTGGTCTGGTCCTAAGAGTCATCACGGGAACTGGAAAGAGCAGCAGATGGAAGTGATGATGAACTGTGTGATGCAAAGAGACAGAACACCACAAAAATCCCTGCAAACCTGCAGAATACCCCAGCTGGACACAATGGGAACAGAAAATCACAGGTTGCCACTCCACCACAGGCAGCTTGACCACAACAGGGGTACTGTCACCATCCTTCCCCCCTGCAGTAATGCCTGGTGCCTGGGCAGTAATAGGATTTCAAGGATTTGGGAAAGCAGCAAGGCTCTCTCTGAGACAGGGTGACATTTGGGGGGGGGTGGGGAAAAAATAAAGGGCATTGTTTAGGTGTTTAATTTAAGCTACATCCAGCCTGAAGGGAGTGTTCGAAAGAACTCGAGGTTCTTCTGTGTTTCAGGTCGGATTTCTCCCTCAGCCCCAAACTCACCAAGGGTTGGTAGTGCCTGACCTGAAGCACCTGCCCTGGCTGTTTGTCTAATGGTTTGGGTCACTCTGTTTAGTTTGGTTGGGTTCCTCTAAACAAAGCCTTAACTGAGGGCGTTATTAACTGGAGTGGCTGCCCCTGGTGGTTGCCTAGTTTGGTGGGCAGAAAGACAAGGCTAAAGATGCATTTTTGCATTGGAAACAAATTGTTAATTGTTGCAGTTTGGGAAAACAGACTTCCCCAGGGTTAAATATCCGAGGATATTAAAACCCTGAAACAGAGACTTTCGGTTCTGAATCACAAATTCAGACCCAACCCCGAACGAGGAAGAATCCCAAGTTTCTCCTTGTAAAACGCTTGGTAGCCTGCATGAAGTTAGTTAGCTTGGCTTCCTTAGATGAGGTCTGCCCTTTGATTTCCACCAATTTTGTCAGTTTTGAAAGTGATTGAATTATTCTCGTCTGCAGCCACGCTGAGGTGTTCAGCTGAAATGTAGCAATGTGAGCAGAACTACAGGAATTTAAACACTTGTTTCATCTGTTCATTTGTTTCAGGGGTTAGTCCCACGGCTTAGTTCAAGGAGCCTTTCATTGCTGCTAAATGAAGGGAAATCTTGGGAACTTGCAGCCAACGTGGCAGTTTTTGGGGTCACATTTGCTTCTAAACCTTTGGGGATTGGTTATAGGGCGGTGTGGCGAAACAGTGTGACCGAGCACAAGTGTTAAGCAAACCATTAAAAAATCATTTCTAATCTGGAAAGACAATTTTTTTAAGGTCCAGGAAAGGCTACTGAAACCTTTATCTGGTCCCTTGTTCACAGCCACTCTGAACATGTCCTTACTTCCATGACCTTGTACTTTTTTTTTGCTGTAGAAAAGCAACGGCCTCATTAAGTAAACCTGACCAAACTGGTCCCTATTGCACACCCATTCTCTGCATGCTCAGGGTCACCAGGACAGAAATAAAAAGGTATTACTCCAGTGAACCTTACCATATGCATAAAGAACATGAAGTAAGATTATCTACACTGAGAACCGGAGTTTTCTGAATTTCGAGTACCTATTTTTACACTGGATTAGCATTTCCCCTGCCCCTTCAAGCCTTGTGAACAGAACATCACAGAGCTGCCCAGGTTGATCAGCAGTGGGAGAGGGACACCCTTTTCTGCTGAAGCATTTCTGCTCTTTGGGCTTGTGGAATGCCAGTAATGACTGTGAACTTGCCACTGGAGAGTCATGACGCACTTTGGAGCAGGTATTTGCTGAGAGCAGAAAACCAGTGGACACTTGATTTCCTCTCCAGCCTCCAAACAGGGATGTGCTTTGGTAACCACAGCCTCCTCGCACTGCTGTGCAGTTCTGGCAGCTTCCTTCTTCGGAGGGGTGTGTTTGGGAAGAGAGAAATCCCGGGAAAGCAAGATTTGGTGTCCCATCCACAGGCTAAAGGAACCACAATCACAGAATCCTGGAATGATGTGGGTTGGAAGAGACCTTAAAGGTTATCTCCTTCCAAACCCCTGCCTGGGCAGGGACACCTTCCACTATCCAGGTTGCTCAGAGCCCCATCCAACCTGGCCTTGGACACTTCCAGGGATCCAGGGGCAGCCACAAATCCAGAACCGCAGCTGAACCGAAAGTCCTGCTTGCCCTTAGGATGCCAGGTGCATAGTGCAGATGAGCTGTATTAAATCTATAGAAAATCAGGCTGTGAGGCTTTACTGAAGCTGTTTTGTGTGCTGATCTAAGAGCTCACTGCCAGTAAGTGGGAGGTCTCCCTAACTCCTCTTCCCTCCCTGCCTCCTCTTCGCTCCCTACCTCCTCTTCCCGGGGGTTTCTGCCACCGTTTGTCTTTCTCCAGTGCTTCTGTCCCTCGGACCTGCCTCTGACAGCTGGCAGAGCCGTTTTCTGTGAGATTAGTGAGGTGTGTAAGGAGCCCGATAAGAGTGAGAATTGACACTGAGGGGGGCTGAGACACCCTGGCCAGGAGAAGGAGCCGGGCAGGGACCTCCCCATTTTGTTCCCTCCACAAGCTGGTCAGGGAGATGCAGTCTCTGTGTTTGGTCAGACGGTGCCTGCAGTTTTTCAGAGCCTCCTAATGTGGTTAAATTGGGGCAGGCTTTCACAAAGGCAGATTTCGTGTTCCCTTTTCAAAGGCTAAGGGCATTAAAGCCTCTCTGAGAAAGATTACCAGGCTGTTTTGACAAGGCAAAATATAACTGAGCCCTGGTCTGAGAGATAAGAGAAACTTCAGGTTAAGAGTTTCCCATGTAATTCGAGTTTAGGTAAATATTCGGTGTGGAAATTTTTAGCTAAAATGTCTAATGTTTGGTAAATGTACTTAAGCAATATTAACAATAGAGCTGCCAGCCCCACCTACAAGAAGTGGTTTGCACCCTTTTGGCAGAAAGATCTAAGATTGAATGGATATAAGGCAAAGCTGGGAAAATTATGTTGTTCACTATTTTCCAATGAGTCATCAACAGGTTTTTTTAAAACTTTGTAATAACAGCAGGTTTTGTTCAGAGCACATGAGATGCTTTTCTTCAGAAAGTAGCATTATAATGAGGGAGGAGTGGGGATGCATGTGCTTTTCATCTGCATGGAACACAAAGAGACTACGTAATGTAAAGCAGACCTTAAAAGAGACAAATACTCATGTTAGAGAAAAATGCTGGTAGGATAAATCGGAGAAAAAAAAAATTTTTCGAATGCACACTGAAATCCTTTCATATCATCTGAAGTGTAAGAGCCAGGCAGAGAAAACTACACCCAGAGAGTCACAGCGGGGCTGATAGATTGGCTCACACGCCCAGGACTGATAAACAGGTTTTGTGCAAATCCCTTTCCTACCGTTTTGCTTTTCTTCTGATAAATATTTTAAAAAGAGATTAGTCTTACCGGGATGACTTTAGTACGAGAAAGAGAAAAGAGCACGGGTTTTAATATTAATGGGTCTGAGAGAGCTTTTGCAAACTCTTTGCTTTGTTTTGTCGTGTTTTACTCTGTTTTATGCAGCGTGCAACTGGTATCACTTACAAACTCCCACAGAGAGTCCCTGCCCCCCTGAACTGTGGTTACGAGCCACTCGCAAGCAGAAGTCTGAAGGCAGGTACCTTTTAAGGTATTCCAGTTTCCCTGTTTCCCCCTGTTTTTCTCCTGCTGCCCCTGCCTGCCTGCAGAGCCCTGGAAACGCGATAGCCCGGGTTCCACCCTGCTGGTGGAAAGTTCATGGAAACCATCAATCAGAACCAGTTGCCTTTAGCAACCAGAAAACAAATCTGCCCGAGTTCACCGCGGGGATGGGGAGTGCGTGGTTGCCGCCGCTCTGGTGTTCAGCTGAGGATTCCTGGCGTCGGGAAAACTTAACCTGTAGGAGCTTTCAGAGAGGAAGCAAGTGTTAAGCAATGTCTGCAGGGTGAGGTTGAAGTCTCTCCCCCAGTCACTGTCGCTAAGAGCCGAGAGAGCTCCTAAGTGGGTCTGGAAACTACTGACCGTGAGGCTGAAAAATCTGCAGGAGTGGATGGATCACAGTCATCCCTTCTAACAGCCTGAATTATAGTATATTTTAACGTTATTATTGCTGACTTGTTATGTAAAACCTTAAACACCTTGTAAGGGGAAGATATATGTATCTATTTAGAGCATATTTATAGGGTGTTCAGCTCTATATGTATTTTTTTTTAATCAAGAAACCATCTCTGACTCTTGATACCTGACCCAGGTAGCCCTTGTGTGTGCAGTACCATCTCCAGCCTCACCTGGGAACACCTTCTGTGTCCTCACACCACGGTGAAATGAGGCAGCACAGTTCGGAACGCACAGGAATGCGCATGGAATTACACCCATTGGAAAGCCTTATCCGCGGACCTGTTGCTGCCTCCCACAGAGAGGGTCTAAAAAAAGCGCAGCAGCCTCCGAGGGTGGATGTCGGCAGCGGGATTACGGATTCTGACCCTCCCAACCCAAGATGTTTTCCCAGGTCAGGGCAGCGTGGGTTTCAGCAGCTGCCCCTGTGCTAACACCTATGCCTTTGGGAACAGGGGGTGGAGAGGAAGGGAAAGGAAAACAAGGACATACCCTTCAAAACCAGCTCAGGTTTCAGGGGGGAGAAGGATTTCTCTCCCTTCTTTCCCTCCCCTGAGCCCCAGATGTGGGGGGGAAGGAGCCTGCTGTGGTGCTGGAGGCAGGCAGAGCTGTTGTTATGCAGATCCTGGCATCCCTGCTCAGCAGCAACTCATCCTGCCTTCAGGGAAGTTCAGCAATTTCAACACCATCTTCGGGATTTTCCGGGGGGCACGATCTATCGGTTAGTCATGCAGCCTATTCTCCTACTGCTCTTTTTAAAGAATCGCGGCATTTTCAAGAGAAGTCAGAGGTCAGCATTGGCTTGGCTTGACATTTGCTCTCGTATTCTTTATCAGGAGATGCGGGAATGGTTTTCAATACCGGTAAACCTGAAAGCAGTGGGTACTTTTTTTCTCCTGAAGAATTGTAGAGCTCAGTTTCTCAGGCCTATTCACACTCTAAAAATAGCTCTGTTTTCATCAATTCATTAACAAACCCACACTGCAGTGCCCTGCACCTTGTTATTGACATTCTCAGCAATACAAATCACTGCCTGACTGCTTCCTCTGGACGATCAAATGCCAGAGCATATATTCATTTCACTGATAGATCAATTAATTTTTAACTTCCCCCCCTCTCTTTCTACAGCTGTCTGAAAGCTGCAGGAACACCTGAAATCAGAGGAACTGCTTACCTACCAGAACAGGTTCTACTACCTGAGCGTCTGGCCCATCATTTGGTAGGTCTGGGCACCAATATCCTTCCTGAACACAGGAGGTGCTGCAAAGGCAAAAGTGGAAGAGCCTAAAATAAAATACCCAGTTTTGCATTCTTTGGACTTCCTGGTGGTAGGGTGGTGAATTTTTTTTTTTTTTTGTTTATTTAGATATACTAGAAATGAATGTATGCAGTAAACTTCCCAAGAGATATAGGGAGAAATATTAAACAATATTATTCTTAATTAGCAATACATGAACATTATGAGGACTTCATCAAGCTCAGACTCTCACTCTGCTGGGCTAGGTAAGAAGGCACTTCTTGCTTTCAAGAGATTAAAACCTGAAGAAACCAAAGAGTCATCGAAATCAGGGACAGTCCTCTTGTCACAGACAGATAAATCAGACCTACTGAAGTCCTGTGTCCTCCTGCACAAGATTACCCCTTTTTCCAGAGTTTCTTTTAATAATAATAAGACCAACTTTGCTTTTTAGCAGCGTTGTGCACGTGACCTTCTCTTTGGCATGTGTGTTCCTTAATGCGCCAGTTAAAATAATTCAGTGACCTTTGGCCCTCTCATTTTATTTGGAGACCTCAAAGTACATCAGCACACACGCAGCAATGGCTGATAAGGGAATAAAGTCATAAACAATCCTAATTTGTATTATGCTGGGTACACCAAAAAGCTGCTCTTCCCTAATCTGCTTACTGCTTTTGTTATCCTCCCAGGAGACCTCTGAAAATCCCCCCAGGGCGTAAAGATAGAAGAGAATCAAACGGGGAGGGGAAAAGGGAAGGACATTTAATAATTGAGGAAAATCTCATTTGAGTGAAGGCTCATTCGTGAGCGCACGAAGCTTCCTGTGCTTCCATGCAAAGGCTCCAAAAGGGAGGGAGAAAAACAGTTGTGTCCAGCAGATCTAGATTGTGTATCTCGGCAAAACCCGAGGCTAGGATGGAGGGACTTAGCTGTAAAAGATGTACAAGGAAGCAGGCAGAGCTAAAGCAATTTTAACCCCCCTATCTGATTCAGAAAATAGCAGTTTCCCATTTGGTTGCCCTACTACTGAGAACTCATCTGTTTCCAGCACAAGTAAACATGGCTTTGCTTTTTGAGGGGGAATTTTGCCCCTAAAATATAATCTGTCTGTGGGGACGGCTCTCTAACCACGCCATGGAATTGGATAAATCCAGTTATTTCAGCTCTTTTCTTTTAGTTTTGAGCCCAAAGTGAAGGGGGCCTGACAAATCTTTGTGAACAGAAGCTGCCACGATTTGGACAGCCTGGTTTCAGTGATGGCATCTCCCATGTTTCTGTCCCCCACAGTCCTTGGGACAGAGACCTGTGAGCCATCTGAGGGCCAGTGTGGTAGATGAATACCCAGTGTGCAAACAAATGCTGGACTTAAAGGGAAGTATAATCCATACCTGTGACTTGCATTCAGGTAGGTTTAAATGTGTTCTGAATTTATGCTTCTTTATTTTGAGGTTCATTCCTTGCTCAAGACTACTTGCTGCTGGTAGTTAATCCTCACCCAAGAGGGGTGAAAGAAGGAGAACCAGACTCAAGAGACAAACAACAGCACAGAAGGGACTGAAGCCAGCCTAAGGAGAAGCAAATTCTGGGAAGCACAGTGTTCCTGGGCAGGCTCTGGTGGTCTTAGGGACCCTGCTGATCTGGCAGACCCTGTAGCAGATCCCTGAGAGCACTGCTGGTGTTGCTTTTCTCTCCTGTCCTTGCAAGATTTTGGAAGTGAAGGCTGTGCAATGAAGGCAGCTTCTTTTTTTTTTTAATTTTTCTTTCTTTTTTTTTTTTTTTTTTTAATGTGGTCTCCCTGAAAGCAGAACACAATTTCTTCAGCTTTATAATTCAAAAGTGTTTTAATTCTGTAATGGCATTTGTTCTCTAGGCTGCGAACTGACCATAAATAGTTCTCTGCAAGAATTTGCTATTGGGACTGTGGTATTTACTAGAAACAAGTCAGATGAAATCCTTCAGGCTAGACTACAGCCCTTTTGGTCTCTGTTCATCACAGAAAGGAGGCTGGGAGGACCTGGGGGGATCTCCTCATCCAAAAGCACGTCACAGCTTTCCACACGGATTCCTCGCTGCCTCCGCAGCGTGGGAGGGCTGGGAGAAGGAGAAGGAATGACTTGGGCCCACTACAGACTAAAAACCTGTGCCCCAGCAAAGCTGACAGCAGCCAGGTGAGTGTGTTGTAAGTCAGAGCTGCCTCTTGGACCTACAGAGAGGTGTAGAGGAGCACATCTACTCTAGGAAGTGGGACAGACATCAGTACTGCCCCTGTGCTCTCTGACTTCGGAGCACACGTGTCAGTGGAGCTTTGGCATCTTGCACAAACCCTGAATAAATGCACTAACCCTGAATAAATGCATAAAGTAATCACTGCCACTGCTTCGAGGAACCCATATTCACAGGCATCCGAAAATAGCAGCGATTAAAACAAACTGCCTTGAGTCAACACAGTGTCCAGGGTTGTCATGCGCACACCGTGGACAAAACAGTCCCCTGCTCTTGGAATTCAGTGGTCAGACACTTCTTTACCACGTTTTGAAGTTAATGGCGTTCTTTATCCTCAAAGCAGGCCTATTTAATTGCGAGTTGATTTTGCTGTGCAGCCATTTGGACACCTGCTAGTGCTAACTCATCTTTATGCAGCCCCACCGTAGGGTGGGATCACTCTTTGGCCGCAGAAATAACTGCCTGAGCTTTGATGTGGTACGTGTCACCACCTTTCACATCAAGAAAGGCACAAATCCCAGCATCAGTCGAGGCAGATCTGCTGTCTCTGATTTGAGTTTCCCAAATACTTCATTACTTTAAACTTTTACAGTGAATGCAACCTCACAGATGATGCCATGACACAGCAGAAGAGAAAACAACTGAACTGTTTTGTCTCCGTGGACCAAATGTTAACCCACTTTACAGGCAGGCATCAGCTTGAAGACTGATGCAGCAGGATACAAAACTCTCCCTGCATAGGATAATTCTTTTGGAAGCAAAGCAGCCCAAGAGTCAACTCACCCACCAGTAATGTTGTTGGTTTTTTTCACTTGGAGAAAATATGTCGCAGTGATTACCAGTGTGAGCGTCTACCGTTTATTAAAAATAAATTCCATTCTTTCTGGCCTATTCAAGAACTTCCTGAAATTCTTTTTTTTTGCTGCAAGAGGGTGACTGAAGTGGGATGCAGAGTGTTCCTATTTTTAGCTCTGTAGCTATACTTGCCAATCTTTGAAGTGCGTCGATACGAACCAGAAACAGCTGGATCTTCCGTCAGCAGAATGGCAAAGATAGGTGGTGCACAGTCATTGAATTAAGAAGCTTCACTGCTGCCCATAATCACTGATTGCATATTATCTAATGGCAGAAGAAGAGATATTGTTAACATCTGACGGTTTCGACTTCAAGTATTTTTAGGAGATGCATCAATTGAAGCACTGATTAGACAGAAGTGGACCAAAACCATCAGTTGATTGCTTTTAGGCTTCACAATCCCTTTTTAAACTGAATGAAAACAAGCCTATAAATTTATTCAGCTGCAATTTCAGCCTGCTCACATGTTATGATCTTGCTCTGTTTTGCAAACACCAAAGGGAACTGATTTATGCAAAATGACCGACACTTTTCTCCCCTACATAAATAGTTCCTGTAGCTGATTTCTGCTGGGAGAGAGAAATGCCTCTTATTCCTGTTTTGTGCCCAGACACAGTTTAGAGCAATTAGCTGTATTTAGGACACTTCAGATTATTGTCTATTCTTCCTACAGGTCAAGGAAAGTTGCCCAGCAAGCTCTGTTTTGAAAGGGACATTATGAACATGTCCAAAGCAGTGTATACAGCTGGGTTCAAGTGCTGCACTTCCAAGGTCTTTCTCTTGGAAGGAAATGATGATTGATCCTAATGCCTGCACACATTAATCAGAATGGGTATTTTCTTGACTGCCTGTTCAAACAACGCCTCCGACACCGTTTCCAGTCAGCATCCCCAAGGCTCACAGCAGATGTTTGTTTGATGGCCTCTCATCTCCACTGTTGTTTGGAAAGTCCCTTTGGAAATAATAGCTCTGTTTCAAACCACAGCAAGCAGAGGCAACATTATCAAAATCATTTACCCTGGGTAATCCAAATGAAAGCCCCGGGGGGAAGAGCGTGTGACCACCACATCCATTAGGACTATTTTGGGAAAGTGCTAAGGAAATAAATGTGAGATCCCTTTGTCTCTCCTTCCCAACACTGCTAACATATTTTCAGTGCTGCTGGGTGTCTCAACATACAAGCATCTTGTGTTTTTAAACGCTGTGTAGTTGTAGCCATTGCTGTAATATTTCATTCAGCTGCTTTTGTGTGTTGGAATAGGGAAGTGGTTTAGAACATGATGATGTTGGTCTGTTTTTAGTGGTCTGTTGAGGTGACCCTGGGTTCCTCACTCTTTTCAGAGGCTTCACTGCGCCTGAAACTGCAGCTGGTGAGAACTGCTTAAACAAGTATTTAATAAGCAGAGGGCTGACATGGATTCCTTGACCATCACGAGAAAAGGTTTTTAGGTACCATCGGCTCCCCGTTTGATTTAATGTCTGAGTCACTGGCTCAAGCAAAATAGGCATTTAACCTCGACACAGATCAGTTTAATCTTGCCTGTGTAAGTAGGAGCAAAATGGTCCAGCATGGGACTTTAATGTGCTTTCAGCCCAACTTGACCTTGTCTCCACCTGTGTGTCCAGCCTGGCCTGTGAAAGTCAGGATGCTGTCAGCTGGACTATGACTTCAGCATAACTGTGCCATCAAGAGAGAGTTGATCTATAGCAGCATTTGGCTCTCATGTGCTGACTTTGAGCCAAAGTATTCTTCTATGATGAGTAAGATTCATTAAGTCCAGTCAAAGATTTTTCTTACTGTTGTTGATGTTTTTTTTCACACACACACACACACACACAAAAAGGCTTTAGGGAAGGAGAATAGTTTTTATTTTTCCCTTGGACTTCATTGAAAAGCTTAGCATTTTCATTGCCAAAAATGAGAAATATAAAAAGGAGGGGGGAAGAAAAAAAATCTGGCTTTTGTGATTTTTTATTACAAACAGCCCAAACATTTATACAAAAATAGGAATTTTCTTGCAAACACCATCTGTTCTACCCAGAGCTTCTTCTTGGCTTCACAAGCTTTCGGGCAGCTCTAATTCTTCTCTGTGTCATATCATTAAGACATCTGGGTCTCAGACAAACGAGGTGACTTTCCCTGGCATGCCCTGGGTGGCAGAGCCCAGAAGAGCTCCTTGACATCCACTCCCATGACTGGGACTGTTGTCCATTCCCAGCCCTCTGCAGGAAGAAAAAAAAAACATTCATCA